ATGATTTGGGAATTATTTTGATTACGTTCATACTGGACGGAATATTGAAGTAGTTGTATATTTGGCACCCATTACTAGACGGGGTATGAGGATGGTTGTCTGATTAATTGAATAAGTGTTTGATCCACGTGTAGTGGGGACCCCTATGGACCCCCAGCCGCACTGGTATGTAAGTAAAAGTGATAAAGTTTAATTACTGTTGGTCTGTTAAAATGCGTAGTACTATTCTGATTCTTCTCTTCATAAATAACATTCAGAAACTTACAGATGAGTTAAAAAAATAATGTTTTTAGTTAAATAAATTTATTTTAAAAATGAGCTCCACTGGTTGTCTTATGATTTTTACAAACTTTTGATTTTCTGTATCAGTAGTAAGATGTTGATATTGTTACTGAGATAGTATAACTCACCCCTTTATTACTAATTATTTAAAATCATGACGACCAAGACCCATATCCTGAACATAAAGAAAAATAGGTAGAATGTTGCCTCTCTACTTTTTTAGTATCGAGTAGAGGTTGATTATATTAATTTTTTTTATTACGCATTTTCATTTATGTTCTTTAAGGGTATTCCCATAGTTTTATTGCGCGTCTTAATCAAAATGTGCAAGGAATGTAACCATAAACTCTGAACTGCTTTCATAAATTAATAAATTTCAGTATTATTTTATGTCTCGTATTTTAGGCCTTTACATTCTCAACCACATAGATTTTTCTTTTGTTAATCTCGAATGTATAGGTTTAATTCTATTTGTACTACTTCTGTGTTATTTTAGTTTATGCAAAATACATGTTAGAATGAGTATAAGAGTATAGAATTTTAGACTATCTAGTGTTTTTGAAGGTAAAAGAGGCTATGGGAGATGAAGAGATGCAAAAATAAAGATAAAAAGTTTAGTAATTGTTTGTTACTTAATTTTTCTTAATTTATTTAAATAAGTTAATAAAAAATTAAAACTATATACATAAGATAATGCATGCCACTTCAAACACCAAGCATGAGAAATCATAACAGTGTGCCTATGTCAACAAATATGTATGTATATATATATATATATATATTCTTTGTGAGATATCATTTTTCCAAACTCATATATAATTTTTTGGCTGTTAAGCATTTCATTTTTTTTTTTTTTAAGTGAAAGCCTTTAAGGCCAACAAAAAGTTGGATGGTAGGCAAGAAGAAAAAAGCCAGGTATCTGCTATGATAATACAAATTTTTAATGGCAAAATTATCTTTTTTTATTATTTATACAATCTTTTTTTTTTAGTTTATGTTTAAATTAATTTTTATATTTTTTAAAAAATATTTTAATTTATTTATTTTTTTCAGTTGGTCCCTAATATCAATAACATTTAATGTTGGTGACGGAAGAGAATGATCAGGGTATGTGTGTGTGGCCTGGTATAGGTCAAGAGGTGGCGAATGGTCGTCGATGTTGTTGACGGGAGAGAATGATTAGAGTGTGTGTGTGTGGCCGATAAGGGTCGGTGGGTGGATGATGGTCGCCGATGTTGGTGACGAAAACGAAGGAAAATAGTGTGCGTGCGTGGCCCAGTAGGGGTCGATAGGTGGTTAATGGTTGCCGATCTTGGTGGTGGGTGGTATCACTGGCATGCCTGGGGTGTCGTCGGGAGACGAAAACCCCGGGTAGGTGGGATTGTGGGATACAGGGGGGGACTGGGGTTCGGTAGTGAACTGTTGGTAGGAACTTGGGGTTTATATTGTTGCATCTCACACCTATATTTTGATTTGTACCGTACTGAGTTAAATGAACTCACTCTTTTTTCTTTACAAATGATGTAGGGACGGAGTCCGGATCGAAGTTGTTGGCGTCCGAACCTAATGTGTAGAGTAACAGGATAAAGATTTTCGTTTCCTTTGACCGAATAGAATGTGTATTGATGGTAGCATAGTCATTGAGTACGGTTGTATTGTGTGCGATGCCTTGTGTATGATTGTAAATTTACCTTGATCATTGAATAAGGGATTGTGATAGTGTTTTCTTGTGCTTAACCGATTGACTATGGAATTGACTGCTTTGTTAATTACGCTCAACATGAAAAGAAAAAAAAAACGGGACGTTACATTAACTAATTTAAATATTTTTTAAAATATAGAAAAAATTAATACAAAATTAAAATAGGGGTCAAATTTAATTTAATAAGTGAATGGATTTACTAATCTCTTTTTTTTGTGTGTTAATCATGTTACCTTTCACGCAAATATAAACTTGGAAGGATATATATATATATATATATATATATTAATTTAACAAAGTTGTTTATGATTATTAGAGTGGAGTTTTATATATCCTAATTATCACAAATTTATAATGAAAATTTATGTAAAAAGAGGTTAGAAATATAATTACGTATTAGAAGGGAGAAATTCATAAGAAAATTAGTTAATTTGGGTTTAAGGTGCATGAGCTTGTGTTAATTAGGCTTTGAGATCATCGATTCAGTGCCCCAAACAATTTAAGGAGGTAGTGTTAGATCTGTAACGTCAACCTCACTCCCTCTCTCTCTCTCTAACTCTTAATTAATTAATTAATTAATTATCCATTAATTTTATGAATTTGAATTAAAATTGAAATTATAAAAATAGAAATTCCGTTAACGTCATAACGTTTAAATGAATAAAAAATTACAAACAGAGCTCCTTTGAATTGAATCTGAGTGTCTGTCTGATCGTCGTCATCTTCCCTGTTCAACTCATTCTATAAAACGACAGCCATTGTTTCTAGAAGCACTTTACACTTTTACCGTTTTAGCCCACTTGCTTAGAACTTCCAAAATACTTTACAAAATATTCTTTTAGAAAAAAAAAATAAATAAATAAAAAACCAATCATACAAACCCTTAAAGCCTATAAAGCTAAATCACTCATATCTTGCGAAATCCATAAAGCAGACCTCTCTCAGTGCTCCTTCAAATCATTAGTCTCGTCTTCTTCGTCTTTACCTTTTTGCTTTTTCTTCATTCTCTTCTGAAACAGTATGGATCTAATCCCGGATCTCCCAAACGATATAGTTCGTGACTGCTTGATTCGCCTTCCTTACAAACAGTTCCCGGCGATCTCATCCGTTTGCAAAGGCTGGAGACTTGAGCTTCAGCTCCCAGAATTTTTCCGACGCAGAAAAGCTACTTCTCATAGCCAAAACCTCTTCGTTATGTCCCAAGCCCGAGTCGACCCGAACAGGAAACCGGGTGCCGCTAAACGGTACACTACGCCGGTTTATCGGGTCACGGTTCTGGAGCCCGAGACGGGAGAGTGGTGCGAGTTGCCTCCGGCTCCCGGGTTGTCTAACGGGTTTCCTTTGTTTTGCCAGTTTGCGGCTGTCGGGTTGGATGTCGTGGTGATGGGCGGGTTGGACCCGGAGACTTGGGAGACTAGTAACTCCGTTTTTATTTTCAACTTCGCGTCAGCCAAATGGCGACGTGGGGCCGACATGCCAGGTGTACGGCGGTTGTTGTTCGGTTGCGCGTCGGATCTGGATGGGACGGTGTACGTAGCGGGCGGACACGACGGTGATAAAAACGCGTTGAGATCGGCGATGAAGTATGACGTGGCGGAGGATCGGTGGAGTTTTTTGCCTGACATGGCAAGGGAGCGGGACGAGTGCAAAGCGATTTTCCAGCGTGGCAAGTTACAAGTGATCGGCGGGTACCGTACGGATCGGCAAGGGCAGTTCGAAGGAGATGCTGAAGCATTTGATGTGTCCACGTGGCAGTGGGACGCAGTGCATGACACGTTCTTAAAAGCCGGAACGTGTCCGAGGAGTTGCGTGGGAAGTGGTGAGGAGTTGTACATGTGTTGTGGGGATGACGTGGTGAGTCAGAAAGGTTCCACGTGGCAGAGTGTTGGCAAGGTGCCTGCTGAGGTGTGCAATGTTGCTTACGTGGAGAGTTGGAAAGAAGATAAGGTTGTGGTAATTGGGTGTGCAAGATTTGGGGAAGGGCACAAGACGTTTGTGTTTGATTTGAAGAGTTTGAGGTGGACAGAAGTGAAGGAAGATGATGAGTTTAGCGGACATGTTCAAGCGGGATGTCACATGGAGATTTAAATTTAAAACTTTGAGTGAAAATTGTATTACAAGTTTTGATGGGTTCTTTTTGCTTGTTAAATAAACTTTGTTTTTGGCATAATTAGAACAAAGTTTCATGAGTTTTTAAGTCTTAATTATGTCAAAACACATTTTACATAAATCCACATGTATAAATATATTCTTCAAGGTTAAAAATTAAAAGATGTTGTATATATGGTGTCCTCTCTTTCATGAAGCTAAAGAAACTCTATTAGGGTTTCTTACCATTTACTATTGTGTTCTTCGATTTTCTCATTTTGATTCTTCAAATTTTCATTTCTTTTGTGAGATTATTGCAAGATCTTGCGAATTAAATAATTGAAGCAATGATTTATTTTTTTTATTAATTTAAACTCGTATAACCAGCAATTTTTTAAAAATGAATCATCTTGTTTGGTACATTTTATTATATATTTTATATACTTTGAGTGAAATTAATTAAATATCTAAGTTTTCTTAATTGATCGATCGTTTAGCTTTTTATGGATTAAAGATAACTATATTAAAAATTACGTCGTATCATCATTGAGAAAAAAATTTTACTTTCATTTAATTTTTTTTTACATTAAAATAATTATTTAATAAATTTATAATCTTATTAATCAAATCACACATAAATACTAATCATAATATAATATTTTAACGAATATACATGAAAATATATAATATCGTATAGAAGAAATAAAGTGTTAATTATTCCGTTATATATTATTTTCGGTTACTCATATATATTTTTTTCTTTTCTCACTTAGTTTTTTAAAATTTATAGTGTTGTAACATATATTTTAGTTAATAAACTCTATATATACTTGTACTTCTCCAATAACTTTCTAGTTAAAGATAGACAAAATGATTTTTACCATATTTAAGTCATGAAATTAATCCATTTATCTTAAGAAAAAATTAAGGTATGCTCAAGAATGAGTAGAGTAGTGACAAACTTTTTCAACAGCCTCTCATATGAAATTAACAAACTATATATATATATATATATATATACAAACATATTATTAATAATGAATTTTTATTAATTGAATTGTCATATAATGTAATTATATTAGCCGATTTATTTTATTTTTTCAAAAGTTAAACCCACATATTTCATGGTCTCAAAAATTGGAAAATTTAAAAAGTCAAAGCACACCATCCTTCCTCTTGCTATATATATATGTTTCTTAAACCCTTTGAAGAACTTCATCTGTTCAAAGTCTTTGTTCTTTTGCACACCGTTTTGACTGTCTTATAAAACATACATATACGTATATATATATATATATATATATATAATATTTTTTGACTTATTCCTTGGGATAAATCAATTATTTATCAATTACCCATCTCAATTTTATAATTGTTTGATTTTATTCTTGGCCTTTTAAAGCATATATACTTAAAGGAACACAGTTATTGACCATATAACATAACAACATTAGTCTAAAAAGTTTAAGAACATTCTTTCAAAGAAAAATAAAAATATAAAAGAACATTCTAATTATTAAATTACCCACTTTTGAAATTCCAGCATTTTCATGTGTAGATTCTCTTCCAATAATTTGTTGAGATACTCTTCTTTTAATTTCAGTTTTATAATATATATATATATATATAATCAATTATTTTTTAAGGATAAAAAATTATTATTATATAACATAAATGTACAACATTTTCCATGTTCTCAAGGTCGTTTATTAATTCATCATATAAATTAAAACTAATATTTTTTATACATTTTTTCATATCATAATATATGTATAATTATATGTTAAAAGATAGTACATAATAAATTTCAATTTTTAAAAAAAAAAGATAATTAAATTACAAAAATAATAATAATTATCGCGGAGAAAAATTAATTGGTTAAACAGCCAACTAAGTTCATTAAAAATACAGATACAAGTTTTTTGAAATTAATTAATTAGATTACTACATACAATTAAGTGGCGGCTGTATTAATAATAATCTTTACAAATTAATATTTAAAGGTCTAAAGACTTTATTTAGTTCATACAGTATATTTATAATAATAAAGATATACGTACGTATGTGTATGTATATGTGTATGCATATATATATACATATATATATTACCTTCTTTGGTGTACGTATTTATAATTATTCAAACTCGAATTGTTATAAAAAGAAATGATGACGCGTGAGAAGTTATTTATTCTTATGAAATTGAATTTTGAAAAGTCTTTTGTGTTTGATGTTTTTCTTCTCAACCTCCCAACATAATTAATACTTGGTAATATTCAACCTTTCTCTTTTGACGATAAACACTTAATTAATTATTACAAGACAAGAAATTAGAGAATCTAATAAGGAATAATAATTAAAATTTATAATTATTAATACATTTTTTGAGTAAATTATTAAATTAAAATTTGAAATTTAACACTGTTAGAATTTTTCAAGGATTAAAAAAAAATTAAATTTCCATTCGTTTCACTTTAAAATTAATAACTTAAAAGTGCATTTAAATAAATTTATATCAAATTTAAATTTTTTAACAATAATCTACTACTATATAAGAGATAAATATAAATCGAATCTCCTAAAAGATAAATTTTCACTAGTAACATGATATTTAAAAATAAACATGTTCTGAATCTAAATAAAAATGAATCTTATTTGAATTCAAATTAACAAATAAAATAAGTCATAATTTCTATGTTAATTGTGAAGGCTCAAAACCTCAAGGGAAACAATTTATTTTGT